CTGGCTTCCTGCTGAGCTTTAAGTCTGAACTGATCAACCATCTCTTTGATGAAGGTGTTGACTCTCAGCTCAGGTTTAGGGGTGAAAAGCTCATTACACAGAGGACACTTATAGGGGCCATTTCCATCCCAGTGCTGAGTGATGCAGGTCTTGCAGAAGTTGTGTCCACATGGTGTGCTGACTGGATCAGTGAACACGTCCAGACAGATGGAGCACAGAAACTGATCCTCAGACCGCAGGCTGCTGCCAGAAGACATGTCTGAACTCTGAGGACAGAAGACACAGATCAATGATTAGCAGATTATCTGATCTGAAGGTATGAGATGTTCTGATCAGGTTCCATGAAGGGAGTTCAGCGGGAGTAACAGCCTAAGTAGTGAGGTCCAGACTTCCCTCTCCCCAGCCACTTGGGCCAGCTCTTCCAGGGGAATCCCAAGACATTTCCAGACCAGCAGAGAAACATAGTCCCTCTACTGTGTCCTGGGTCTTCCCCTGGGCCTCCTCCTGGTGGGATTCAAAACTCCTTACCGGGGAGACATCCATCCTAACCAGATGCCTGAGAACTGACTCCTCCTGACGTGAAGAAGCAGCGGCTCTACTCTGAGTCCCTCCATGATGACCGAGCTTCTCATCTTATCTCTAAGGGAGAGCTGCTTGTATCCGTGATATCGTTCTTTTGGTCATGACCCAAAGCTCATGACCATAGATGAGGGTAGGAATGTGGATCGACCGGTAAATCAAGAGCCAGGCCAATTCACCTGTCAATCTTCCGCTCCATTTTTCACTCATTCGTGAACAAGATCCCGAGATACTTAAACTCCTCCACTTTTGCAGGACTGCCCCCCCGACCCAGAGAAGGTACTCTACCTTTTTCCGGCTCAAGACCATGGCCTCAGATTTGGAGGCACTGATTCTCATCCCGGCCGCTTCACACTCGGCTGCAGCGAGAGCTGCAGATCACGACCTGATGAATCCAATAGGACCTCATCATCCACAAAAAACAAAGACGCAATCCTTAGGCCACCAAAGCTGATCCCCTCAGCCGCTTGGCTGCACCTAGAAATTCTGGCCATGAAAGTAATGAACAGAATCGGTGACAAAGGGCAGCCTTGGTAGAGTCCAACCCTCACCGGAAACAAGCCTGACTTACTACCGGCAATGCGGACCAGACTCTGGCACCAATCATACAGGGACCTAAAAGCCTGTATCAAAGGTACTCCCACAGTGCCCCCACAGGGCTCCCTGAGGGACAAGGTCCTTCTCCAAGTCCACAGATCACATGTAGACTAGCTGGACAAACTCCTATACGTCCTCTGGCACCGACAACCTCATGGCCACAGCTCTGATAAGACACCTCAACAACAGAGGCACGGAACATGGTCCACTCAGACTCAGTGTCCCCCTGTAACATGTTCATAACTCTTCTGAAGTTGGAAGTTAAAGCTCCATCTCACAGGAGACTCTGTCAGACAATTCTAGCAGACCCTCATAATATGTTTGGGCCTGCCAGGTCTGACCGGCTTCCTCCCCACCGCCAGAGTCAACTCACCACAGGTAGTGGTCAGTGGACAGCTCTGCACCTCTTCAAGGTATGTCCAAGACATACGGTCACAGATCTGATGAGACAACAACAAAGTTAATCATTGAACCGCCACCTAGGGCAGACGTGTGCAACTCCTGTCCTTGAGAGCCAGGGTCCTGCAACTTTTAGATGCGTCTCTACTTCAACACTCAGGAGTCAAAGAATGAGGTCATTAGCAGGACTCTGGAGAACTTGAATTCACTTAGGAGGTGATTCAGTTGTTTAATTGAAGTGTGTTGGACCAGAGAAACATCTAAGAGTTGCAGGACACTGGCCTTCGAGGACCAGGATTTCCCCACCCTCAGCCTTGGATGTCCTGGTGCCAAGAGCACACATGGACAACCTTATGCCTAAACATGGTGTTACTAATAGACAGTCCCTGACCAGCACAGAAGTCCAACAACAGAACAACATTCTGGTTCAGATCAGTGGGGCCGATTCTCCCAATCACAGCCCTCCAGGTCTGATTTTTATTGCCCATGTGAGTGCTGAAGTCCCTCAGTAGAAGAAGGGAGTCCCCAGGAGGGGCACTCTCCAGTACCCCTCCCGGGGACTCCAAGAAAGCGGGGCCTGGCTCCAGAAATGACTGGCCTTCTGTCTGTACCAATAAAATGATTTACATAAACAGGGAGAACAGTCTGTAAGAAGCTGGTCAGGTGGCAGCTGGCAGTGTCTCGCTGTGGACTTTGCTCCTATATATCATAAAATAGCATTTTATCTCATCAGAATTATTTACTGTGATTATTCCAACAGGGAGAGTCTTTCTGCAAACTTTAAACTGGGAGGAGCCTTCCTGTTATCAACTGAAGCTCAAACTACTTCTTTTCCTTTCGGCTTTTCCATTTAGGGGTCACCACAGAGAGTCACCTTGTAACCTCATGTCTCCACCTGAGTCCCTCTCATTCACAAATGTATTCTGTCTTGACACATCTAAACATCACTTCTCTCTATCTCTTGAGATTTTCCTCCACCTGTTTTCTGCTCTCACCACAGATCACAATGTCATCTATAAACATCATAGTCCATGGAGATTCCTGTCTAACCTCATCAACCTGTCAATATCCGCAGCAAACAGGAAAGGTTCAGAGCCGATCCTTGGTGAAGTCCCACTTCCACCTTAAACTCCTCTGTCACTCCTGCAGCACACCTCACCACAGTCTTACATACAGGTCCTTCACCACGCTAACCTGTTTCTCTGCTTCTCCAGACTTCCTCATGCAGAACTACAGCTCCTCTCTACATCAATAAAAACACAATGCAGCTCCTCTGACATTCTCTGGACTTCTCTATCAACATCCACAAAGCAGACATTATATCTGTAGAACATTTTCTTGACATGAAACGCTGCTGCTGCTCACAGATCCAAACCTCAGTCTGGCTTCAGCAACTCTTTTCCATAACATTGAATGACTCTTCGACTTCATTCCTCCACAGTTGTCACAGTGTTTTTCATCTTCCTTGTTCTTGAAAATTGGCACCAGCACACTTCCCCTCCATTCTCCAGGTGTTTTCTCACTCCCTCTGACCTTATTGAACAGATTAGACACTCCCATACCTCCACAGGATCACCAACTGCCTTCCATGTTTCATCCCAACTGCTACTGTCCAGCCAAACAGAGTGTTCCCTTTGTTTGGCCTCTTCTTCTTAGCTGCTCTTTCACTGTATCCTCACTTCTAGTTTAATTTAACTCAGAGGTTCCCAAACTGTGGGGCGCGCCCCCTAGGGGGGCCGCCATATCTTTGCAGGGGGGGCGTGGGAAGCCGTCTGGATGAAAAAAACAAAAACAAAACATGAACACTGTATGCGCTGGGTTTTTTACCTTAGAATGGCCAACTCTCTGTTATTCCTATGTCAATTTGATACAGTAGAGGCATCCAAACTTTTCATATTTGTGTCCTCTGTCACTTTTATCAGCAGTTAAAACTGTTTAATCCGTTGTTAACATGTTGTAACCTGTTTTTCCGAGCCGCCTTCAAACGCAACATGAACGCTGAGACGCTCGCGCTGGGTTTCCACCTGTGAAGGAGACCTGCTGCTGCTGTGGAGCTACGTAGGTTTGTGTTAGAATCACGGCAGCAAACCAGCAAAACGCAAAGAACTTTACACAGTTTTTCCCTCCAAACTAACCGACTGAGTTGAGTAAAGCTGCTGGATGCAGGTAATGTTAGCTAAAAGATGACTAGCTAATATCAATACAGAACCTTAAGCTTAACAAGTACCTTGTAGGCTACCGATGTTGGTGTCTATTTTCAGCTACGTACATTCATTTTGCCCCCAAAAAAGTCGATATCCCCCCCCGTCACACGGGTCGTTTTAACCCGACAACCCATTGTTATCCCTAGGGGGGGGCAGAAGAAAAAGTTTGGGGACCACTGATTTAACTGAAGCTAAATTAAACTGACAGTTGAACTGCTGATGGAATAAT